AGATATGTAGGCAGTCCCCAGGTTACAAATGTCTGAATTACATACAACCCATGTTACACACCAACCCCTATAAAGCATCCAGTAAAAATTCTGGATCATTAAATGAGCTAGTACCAGAGTTCTATTAAGAGAAAGGTAGATATCTAAAGCTGTCAGTTTCTACCTTTGAGTTCTAATTCATTCCCTGAATCCCTTGTGAAACTGATAAGGCAGGAGAAAAGAAAAAAAGAAAGGTGACATTTATTGTATGCCAGGTGTTGTAATTTCATATTCCTTGTTTCCACAATCAAAACCAATGGAAGCAGCATTCAAGAAACCAGACGATGTATTGCACTGGGCAATTCTGCTGCAAAGACCTCTTTAAAGTTCTGAAGAGCAAAGATGTCTCTTTGTAGACTAAGGTGCACCTAACCCAAGCCATGATATTTTCAGTTGCCTCATATGCATGTGAAGGCTGGACAATGAATAAAGAAGATGAAGGAAGAGTTAATACTTTTGAGTTGTGGTGTTAGCAAAGAATACTGAAAATACCATGGACTGCCAGAAGAACAAACAAATCTGTCATGGAAGAAGTACAGTTTATAGCTGGAATGCTCCTTAGAAGTGAGAATAGCCAGACTTCATCTCATCTACTTTGGTTGTTTTCAGAAGGGACTGTTCCCTGAAGAAGGATATCATGCTTGGTAAAGTGGAGGGTCAGCAAAGAAGGGAAGGCCCTCAGCAAGATAGATTGATACAGTGGCTGCAACGATGGGCTCAGATACAGCAAGGATTGTGAGGATGGCACAGGACTGGGCAGTGTTTCATTCTGTTGCACATAGGATTGCTATGAGTCGGGGCCAACTTGATGGCACCTAACAAAAACAAGGCCTTGTAGACGTAACATGAACAAAGACAAAAACTTCAGGGGAGGCATCTGGTCAGTCAGTGGCAGAAGGGGATCCTAACCCAGCCTGGGTTCTGTCCCTACTGCTGGCTGTCTATGCTTTGATTTACAGTGTCAGAGGTCTAGGCCATGCCCCTCACCTGTAGAAGGTCTGTATGTGGTGATACTTGGGTGGCATGGCCATGCAGCCAAGTCAACCTCATTATGCATCTCCTGGACGTCACCAAAGTACAGCCCCAAGTCCACCAGCCCTAGGCTGTGCCACTTGGCCAGCATCAGCATCTCATAGATCTTGTCCAGCTTGCTGTGGCAGCAGCCATCCACAGCTACCCACATTCTACCAGCCCAATGGACTATGGTCCATAATGACAAATGGGCACTTTTGCAACATGCATGGAAAGATTATTATTACTGTCTTATTATGTTAAGAATGTTGTAATGTATCTTGTAGTGTTTAATGTTATTTTATGAATAGAAAGATACACTATGTAGTAGCTACTAAGGCAAACATTTGACTAAGTGACATTCAACATGAACCATATTTAACTGTGCCCAACTTACATAAAAACTTGATTTAAAAACAGACTTAGGAACAGAGCTAGTAATCCAGGGACTGCCTCTGACTGTATTTAGATAGAGAGAGAGAGAGAGAGAGAAAGAGAGAGAGATGTTTTTGTTATGTGCTGCCAAGTTAATTCCAACACATAACGACCCTAGAGGACAGACTAGAACTGCCCCATAGGATTTCCAAGGCTATAATTTTTCCCCACCACCATCATTAGCATAAACTCAATGCCCTGCAAACAAGAGCTAAAGCTATAATCTTTACAAGAGCAGACTGCCACATCTTTCTCCCATTGAGTGGCTGGTAGGTTCAAGCTGTTGACCTTTCAGTTAGCAGCCAAACACTTAACCACTGTACCACCAGGTTTCACTGTGTATATATAGGTAATTTCATATTTATGTTACTGATAAGTATCTTTGAAATATGTTTTATTTTATTATTTGATTACAGGATTGTAACTAATCATCCTGAAGGTATATGTTACACTATTCATTCAGTTAGTTCATTCAATTACACTAATTTTTAATGAGGAAGATACAGATCTTGGCCTCAAGAGTTTGATAATCTAACAAGCAATTAAAATCCAAAACATTGAGTAGACACATGCAAAAGAAGACATTACCCAGCCTTGAGGTGATAGACAAGATGTCCTATAGGAGGTGATATCTCAATTGAGTACTAAGACAAATAGTCATGCATGTGAAGATAAGGGGAGAGAATAGGGAAACACTTTCCAGACAAAGAAAATAGCCCAGAGTGTCTTCACTATGGAATTAGAGAAAGTATTTACAGGGGCAGGAAACCTGTGCTGGAGACTGTTACAGTTATCTACCTGTGAGATGATGGGGGCTTGAACTAAGCCAGAGGACATGGAATGGAGAGAAGTGAACAGATTTAATAGATTTAGTAGATGAGAAGAATTAACAAGAATTTAATGATTGATTATATGTGGAATTAGAGGGAGAAATTTAAAAAAAAAAGGAAAAAAAGCTCAGATTTCAGCTCTAGGTAGGGAGCATAGAGGGTGACACAGGTTTGTAGAGGAAATAGTTCAGATTTGGATCAGTTGAATTTGAAGTGTCTGTGGGACTCCAAAAGACAATGACTGTTAAGCACTTACATACATGGCTCTGGAGTTCTGGACAGATATAGGCTGGACATAGACATTGTTGTTGTTGTTGTTGTTTGCCGTCAAGTCGGCCCCGACTTATAGCGACCACTCCTTAGGTTTCCAAGGCAGTATCACTACGGAAGTAGGATTGCCCAACCTTAGGGAACAATAACTCCTAGATGGCAATTGGAGCCATGCATATGGATCTTAATAAGCTATTAGGAAGTTTCTAAGATGGACAATGTGAGTAAGTTGTGTTCATTGCCTACTTGTCATAACATTCTTAGGAAATTAGTCATTCTATGTTAGACCTTCTACTTGAATAATTTCTTTTTGAAGTATCAGCATATGGCTGGTCCTTGTGAGGCTGAGGTTAAAGATGTCCCAAAAGTCCAACTTCTCCAAGCCACTGTACCCTTCCATCATCTTTAACATCAACTCCTCCTCCTCACCTCATTACTCTCCTTCCTGTCTTAGGGTTCTGTATTTTGCTATAATATCTCACGGAACTCACCAACTGCCATGGAAATGGCTTACGCAATGGTGGAGGCAGAGAGGCTGGCAAGTCCCAAATCCATGGGTCAGACATAGATCTGGAGGAATCTCCTCACTCATGTGTTTGCAGTGGCTGGCATACCCAAACAGGCAAGTCAGGCAACTGCCTGCTTTCTCAAGTCCAGGAGTGAGAAGATGATGAAACAAACAGGAGCTAGAGCAAGGGAGAAGGAACTTCTCCAGAATATTCACATGTATACTCTCAAGGTAGCTTGAAGGTGGTGACTTGAGTCACACCCTCCAGCAAGGTGGGACTCAGGATATATTCCGCCCTAAACAGGCATAAACAAAACAACAGAGGCTAGGATTTAGGATATATCACAAAATGGGGGACTGTTGCTAAAAGGGCCATATTAAGCAACTCACTGCACAGCACCGTCTAAGAAATAATTGTTCAAAAAATTTTCATTATCATTTTTAGTTCTTAGCAAATTTTTTTTTACCAATATTACTTATGTCTTTTTTTTTTTCCCCACACATTATCCAAATTTTGGCTTTAAACATAACATTTCCCCTTGCAAAAAGGACAAGGAGGCCACATGTTCTGACCTCCTCTAATCCCACAAGAGGAAGACATAATCACCATCAATAGCCCAAGGCCTATTCCTACAAGGCCAGACATGCTGCCTCCCTCCAGCCCTTTCTCCAACCGTTCCTCCCAAAGCACCCACCACCTCTCTCCTGGGTTTGATAATTCGCTGCAGTGGCCACGCAGAACTCACAGATTATGGGGTTTATTAGGGAAGCACCAGACTACAATTCAAGTTCAGGAAAAATGCTCAGTCTCTCTCCCAGCCCACCGTCTCTCAGCCAACAGTCTCTCACAGTCTCTCCCCCAGCAGTGCATGTCCCTCAGTGTCTTACTCAGAAACGCGTGTCTCTTGCGTCTCTTTCCCAGCAGCATGTGTCTCTTTCAGGAGCGTGAGTCTCTTTCAGCAGTATGTCTTCCTCAACCAGCATTCAGAGAGAGTTCTGCCTCTAGGAGGCCTCCTTTTGAGCTTGGCAGAGTGGCCAAACCAATCATAACAACAGAATTCTAAGCACCTGAGAGTGAGCCTCCCATAACATTGCGTTCTGCCACGCCCAACAGAAATAACCCAGGTGGATAACATTTACAATCAGGAACTCATCAGTTGCTCATTCCACCACTGAGTTTACAATAACTTACGGGTAGAAAAGCCATACTAAGTAACTTACTATACTGCACCCCTAAAGAAAGAAGTACAACAAAATGAGGTTATTATAGAACTTTTAGAATTAAGCAAATTAGGAGAAATGTAGAGGGCCCTGGGCTTGTATGATTTAAATATATCCCAGTTCTGGAAAGAGAATCTGTATGGAAAACACTTACAGAAAAAAAAGATGTGTGTTTGTATGTATGTCTGTTCATGTGTGTTTTAAGATAATTTAAATAGAAAATATTTATTAATATTCTGCTTATTTTGAGTTTACAGAGACACTTAAAATTTTACAAATCAAATAATTTAGATTATGTATAATGTAAAAATGTAACTGACTTTTTAAGTATTATGTTCTTTTATCGTAAGACAAGAGTTTTCTGCTATGCAGTTCTAATGTACTTTGATATATTTTAATGTTTCAATTATATGTACAATACAGTTTCCCTTCCAAAATATGTTTATTTGAAATATTTTCTTTCAAAAGATTGCAGTAGCAGTTAAGCTTCATAAAAATTTACTAGTAGCTTAATACTAATTTATTCTCTGATTAGAATTTTCAATGTAGTCTTCTTGTTATTATTTTGATCATGCTATAACTGTCTTAATTTTATGCCATGTATAAGCATCCATAGAATTTAAATTTTTGTTACTGTGATAATAATTATATACCATATGCTACATATGATTTCTTTTTCTTTATAGGAAAATGGTTCTCCTGAAGAACATGCAGTCTATGTGTGGGACCACTTCATAGCCCAGTCTGCAGCTGAGAATGTATTTTTTGTTGCTCACAGTTATGGAGGACTTGCTTTTGTTGAACTGGTAAGTATACATATAACTTGATTTTTAATTCCCAGTCTTCTTACAAGTTTATCCTCCCCCTGTTTTTTATTGGTATCATTATTTTAAATTATTTTATGACAGATGAAAATAAATTTTTTTGAGTAAATAATTTCATAATATTTTAAAAGAATAGATTAAGTTTTTTTTTTTATGGTGGCACAGCTTTTCAGTGTTAACCATTAAGCATTTTGTCTGTTTCTTATTTACATATCCTTTTTTATTTCTACATTATGGCCCCAGTTCCCATACATTTCATGTTATTTATATTACATGGTTATGTATATACCATTGAAGCGTATATTATCAGTAAAGTCAAGAGAAGAGACTCTTCCAGTATTTGAGACTATTTTGGTAATCCTTCACTGACTTTTATCACTGCACGTTGGTTCTTAATATGTACAAGTCATGTTAAAAGTATCAGAAAGCTTCCATTAATCTGCTTCTAACTAGAATGTGTTGTTGATCAAAAAACAACTTTGCATTTCAAAACAATCTGATTATCAGAGTGAAGATTGTGTGTACATGATAGAAAAATTAGCAAGACCTCTGAATCTTGAGTATTCTGAATTTTCTGAATATTTAGTATTACAAAAATCATAATCTTGTGTTTGTATGTTAGTATGTTTTCTCTGATCTAACCAGTGCTAAAAATATACTAATGAATTCATCCCTCCGTGTTTGTAACAAAATAAAATGATCAATTTGATTAAAATATATTTGATCATTTTAATTCCAAAAAGACCAAAGTGGACAACATTGGTCTTCCAATTTTTGTTTTTAGAGTTAGTGTGTGTTTCTCTTTGTCATGGAAATTAAATATATTCTTCTGCAGCCTTTTCAGCTTCCCTGTGTGTTATTGCTTACCCACATGATTTAGACATAAAACTGTTGGTGACACCTGACACTTGAATATTTTAGTTGACTTCAGTCCACAAATGCTCTTGCTATTTTAAGCTCAAGAAATAAGTTAAACACTTTATTTCTTAAATTGATTTCAGTTTATAGGAACTATTTTCAAATACTTTTAACTCTACTTAATTTATTTAAATATATAATTATAATTAAGATATATGTATAAATATAATAAAGATATAATTAACACATGGCCACATTATTTTTAAAAGATAAATCTTGTCTTGCAGATAAGTGTTTTTAACTATTATAGATTTATATAGCTTAATTTTTTTCTCTGTAAGCCATTACATTTCTTAAAACATGAAATACCATTAACTTAAAGAATAGCATAAAATGTATCTTGAAAGCCTGCAACACTAATCAAATTTTAGGCTTCTATAAATCATAAATTCTTACTGTTTTACTTTAAGATAATTTATAAAACTTTTGTATATCAAATTTGAAATTTAAGCGAATTTTGGACAGTTTAAAAAAATGAAGTTAAGGTACCAGGGTAATAGATGACCAGTGTGTCAGACCTATTTTGCCTGTCCTTCATGTCACACACTGGTGGATATTTCTCCACTTTTGTTCCACTTTAATATAAAGCACACAGATGTTTCAGAACAAGACTTGACTTCTGACCTTGAGGCTATTAGGGTCAGGGTCCTCAGGGCCTGTGAAATTATCACAAGCTGAGCTAAAGTTTTTCTCCATCACAGGAAGTAACCAGTAAGTAAGAAGTTAAAAAGGAGCTTTGTCAGAGAGACAAGATGGTCTCAGTAAGGGTCAGCTTCTGTAGTCTGCTATCTCTGCAGGAGGTGCATGCATGGGAGGAGGAATATAATATAACCACTGGCACATCACATATCTGTCAGGCAACACCAGGGCTGAGGAGTCTATTTAATGTAATATACCTTGTTTATGTTTTAAAATATTAATGCCAATTACTACAACTTCATATATTTCCTATTTCATACTAAACTATGCTCAGAGTGTAGAGATGGTAGCAACTGGAGAAGGAGGCATTCCTGATTTAATAAAATGTATTCCACTAAACAAATAACATTGTATACTGGTGAGTTTTATATTAATTTTGAAAAAGTTTGATTAATGTATTTAAAGTCATCAGGTTTGTATTTAATTTAAAGGGCTTTAAAATAACATTTTAAAGAAATGACAAAAAAAATTGTTGAAATGTCTTTAAACTTTTTTGCTGTTGCCTCAAACTGAATAATACTCATTCCTGTTCTCCTCAGTATTGTTAGGGGGGTTATCATTGTGCGTAAAATACTGGAAAAATTAATTCTTTCAGAATTTTCAACATAAGTATAATATATATTATTTTACATGAATTCAAAATTTTAATATCACTTTATAAGAAAATTAATTGTGAGCATTAATATATAAACTTAAGTTTTGTTTTAGTTTTTAGTCCAGTAGTACATTATACATGAGATATTAAATCCTTTATATTTCAGTAAAGTTTAATTTTTTAAAAGTTCTCATAAAAAATTTTACTATTAATTAAACACACACCTCTTACAGAATAATCTTAGTTTATAGAATCATATTTGAAAGCATGGAAACTTTTATTCCACCATTATCATGAAAGTTTACATTCTTTTCTAGATCATCAATTTCAAGAAAATTTATTTTAAATGTAAACTGTGTGGCAAGTACAGTTTCACCAATAAATATAATTAAATATAGTTCTTGTTGTTTAAATTATAGGTACCAGTCAGGACCCATTCAGAATTGCATTATTATTTACTAAATGATAGTTGTGCATAATCGTAGTCTAAAATTAAATGTGCTGCTAATAGATATCTAAGAATACATTACTTTTAAGTTTAGAGCACAAAATAGTTGTAGAGCTTTTATAATTTGTGAATTGTTGTTTTTGAAAACTGAGAATATAATTCATGATTAGCTCCTATCTTAAAGTGTTGACTTTCTCCTGGAAGAATGCATCCATCAGAAATTTATTTTTAAAACCAATGCTCATTTCATGGTAGTAAATCTTGGAACCTCATCATGTCTAGCCTCATAAAACATTATATAGTTTACTATAATAATGAGAAAGGGTGATGGAACAAATACATCTTTTGTGCTTATATTCTCATCATATGGTAACTACTCAAATTTCTAATTCTGAACTTCTTGTGACCTTAGTAAAAATAGGTGTTGATAATAAAGTTCTTGTAGAGTTTCTAACATTTATTCATTAAAGAGTAAAGGGAAAACTTTATTTTATGAATTAATAATAAATTTTTGCAAGTTAACATGTATGTTCTCTTATCTTTTCTATATATTAAAATAATACTGATACGTAAAGTTCTATTATCAAATCACCATTTAAGATGACTTAAATGTCTATCTTAGAAATTATTTTATACTTAATAGAATTAGTAAGCACAGTCAGAATGCATTTACCGAATTACTTTGAAACAACATCTGCAAATAGTATAGCTTATTTTTGCCTTATAAAAGTTGTAAAAGATTAAGGCTCATTTGTTAGAAATTAACTTTCATTATAAAACAATGCTGTTTTCGAGTTTTTTTCTTATCTCCTCCAGTCGCTTTGATGATGTGATTTCATTGCTTTAATTGTTGGACATTTCAGGATACTTTGCTGTTGTCTTTCCAGGTGATTATCAGCTTGACAAAACCAAGTAACCTTCTTAAAATTTTCTCTTGTTTGGAAATGAATGGGCTTTCCTTATCAATGCCCGGTTTCCTATCTCTTGCCTTCTCTGTTGTCAGTGGTCAGTAAATCAATTTGCATTCGTTATTTCTTTCCTTAGCCAAAGTGAGAGTTTCATATTTTTTATAAAACATATTGAGAAAATTTAGTACACATTTCATTAGTTTATTGAGTCATCTCAGCTGATATAAAATTATCATTGCTTCATTACTTTTATTTCTATTTCCATGTTAGTAGTGGTATGTTCACAAACATCATTAAAAACGTCACTTAGAAATGTGTGAAAACTGCTCCTTTTGAGAATGTGTTCTCTACCCACTTTTGATTTTAGTTTCTCCATGCTTGTCAGCACTTGATTGGCACCTCACTTGCATGTGAATTGAGGAATGAAGGGAACTCTATTTTCCTGCTATTGTTCCATGCTGGGCTCCCTGGCCTCCAGGCAGCCTAAGCTGCCCTTCAGGAGCTGATAGAGGACTAGTTTTGGACATAGCTGTGTGAGGACACTCAACTTCAGTGTACATTGAGTCGATCTTTTAAAATTCCCTAGAGCATGGTTTGAATATCCAGTGAAGAGAAAATGGAACATAATTTAAAAAATTAATTTTTACCTTTAGTGATATCAGCTAACTGTGACCTTAAAGATGCATCACTTACATTTTTGTCTCAAAGAACAAAGTAAATTGGGTGTTAGTAGAGTATCTGTTTATTGTGATCAATGTAAATAGCTGGAATTCGCTTTAAATTAAATTTCCACTTTAAAAATGAAATTATGGTATGCACACCTAAATTTCATCAATGTATGTGTGCAAGGAGAGAGAAAAATTGTTAAATTACTCTCCATAGAGGTTAGTATAGGAAGCCAATTGGGCTGCTGAGAATCAAGAATTGAGGGGCATTAGAATAAGAGTAGGGAGCCCTGGTTGCACAGTGGTTACACATTCAGCTGCCAAACAAAAGGTTGGAGGTTCGAACATACCAGCTGCTCCACAGGATAAAGATGTGGCAATCTGCTTCTGGAAAGATTGCAAACTTAGAAACCTATGGAGCATTTCTACTCTGTCCAATACAAACAAACAAACAAACAAAAAACCCATTGCCATCAAATCAATTCCAACTCATAGCGATTCCCGTTGGGTTTCCAAGGTTGTAAATCTTTACAGAAGTAGATTGTCTATCGCTCTCCTGTGGAGCAGCTGGCGGGTTTGAACCACCAACTTCCTGGTTATCAGTCAAATGCTTTGCACACAGTGCCGCCAGACATGCTTTAAAAAAAAAAAATCCAAACTCACTGCCATCCACTTGGATCTGACTCATAGTGACCCCTCCCTGGGTTTCCGAGGCAGTATCACTGGAAGTAGATTGCCCAATCTTCCTT